ATTCCTCTGTTGGGAATTTTCACGGAGGATCGGAAAACATAATATCATAGTGATATATGTGTGCCTATGTTCATAGCAGCACAATTTGTGATAGCCAAATCTTGGAAACAACCATTATGTCCATCACCTGAGGAATGGTTGAAAAAGATGCGGTATTTTTACACAATGGAGTATTATTGAGCTATTAAGAATGATAAACTCGAAGCCCTTATATTGAAGTGGATGCCACTTGAACATATACTCATAAATGAAATAAACCTGACACACATGTGTAAATATCGTAGTTTCCCTAGTATAAGAACTCAAAAGAAGAAATACAAATAGGTATAATACAAGTAAAAGGAAAGCAGAATCTTGAGGACTAATTAAGAGAGGGAAAGGAGAAGAGCTAGGAAACATAACAATGTCAAGCCACACAGTTATATGTTAGAAGATGGGCAAGGCAATGATCCTCAGAATCTCCAGAAGATTTTTGAATCTAGCAGTTAATTGAAAAGACTCTCACCCTGACTAACTATATATACTGATACCTGTGAACTTAGCAACTGCACTGTAGAGGGTAATCTCTAATAGTAGTTTCATGCTTGGAGTGCCTGTCCTTCTGGTCTTCTGAGTATGGGCTGCTTGTCATGATATGCCAGTTACTGCTATGATGTCTCTCGGGTAGATGGTTGTTCAAAATGAAGGGGTTGTAAATGAAAGCAAGAGACAAGAAAAGGAATATTGTGGGACTGTTTCAAGGGTGTATATGGTGAGACTTTTGGACTTATGTGTAAACATAAGAAGTATATAATTCAATATGCCTATTTTTAAAATACATTGTAGTTTTTCAAATTTTTCTCATATTCTGTAGGGACTTAAAGTTCAACATATCAATACTTGATGAAAAATACCTCTTCCATATTATGCCTAAGATGTTTAATATGCAGACAGATAGTGAGGATAAGCCTAACAGCCTAAGTTGTATGGTAATAACAATAACCTTGTCTTCTGGATGGTTAACAGCCTGTTTGCAGACCAAAACTAGAGAAAAAGGAGGGCCGCAAGGAAAGCCATCATTTTGGCCCTAGCATTCCAAGGTCAACTAAGACTCAGGACATATGAGAACTTGTACTGTAAAGTCATGTAACTCAGTAGTGTCCCAAATTTTCTGATCAAAGAGATGATGGGGCCAAAGAGGAAAATGATTGATGATGTAGAGTGTGCCTAAGAAGAGTCACATGGAGAGAAAACATTCTCTCAGGCTTTCACAGAGAGCACATTGGCTAAGCAATGGGCGTGACTCATCCACATGGCTGACACTGAAAAGTTTCTACAATCTGAGGTACAGGATTCTCAGGATAAATCCTGAGGTGATTTCACTGACCTTATCAGACCCAAAAGTTACAACTCTTGTTTCTTAGGTCCTGCTTTACCTTGGTCTTAACTATGCAGCAGAAAAGTATAAAAACGAAATATAAGAAGTAAAGCCGGATTGGAGAGATAGCTCAGTGGAAGAAGTGCTTCCCTGGCAAGTGCAAGGGCCTGAGTTCAATCCCCGGTTCTGAAAAAATAAAAATAAAAAA